GACAAAAAAAAAACATTTCGAATGCCTACCTTAGAGAAATTCTTCCACTGGAACCAGGAGACATCAACAAAGAAATTCAAACAGCTTTGTCCATAATATTTGAATGGACAAAGAAATTAAGGTATATTCATACAATGGAATAGTATACAGCAGACAAATTAATTACTATGACTGCATTAACATGGGTGATTTTCAAAAGTCTAAAATTAAAGCTAAGAATCATGTAAAAAAATAATAAAAATAGTCTGATTCCATTTAAAGAAAGTTCTAAAATAGACAAACCAAAACAGCATATTGTTTAGCATTATATACAAATGTAAATTTTAAAGAAAATCAACATAAAAATTAACACAAAATTTGGGATCATAGTTACTTGACGGAGGTTGGGGAGGGTGTTGTAGGGAAGGGAATGTACCCAGAAAGGAATATGTATTGGGCTTCTAAGTCTCTTGCAATATTCTATTTCTTAAGTTTGGTGGCAGGGGCAAAGGTATTCACTTTATTATTTTCTTTAAAACATACAGATACATTAAATACACTTTCGCACCTATGATAAGTGCTTCATGTTACCAGCTTATAGGCCATCTCTGCCCACTCAATCTAAAATAACTAACCAGTTACTCTATATCACATTAGCCTATTTTAATAATCCAGTTATTTGTTATGATTTCTTTAGCTTTGGACTACTTGTTCTTTGAACTACTTGTCAGAACTTTAGGATATACAACAATAATTTTTAAAATGCTTACTCTATGTATTTTTCATGCATTTTAGTGATATGAAAAAAAAAAGTAGTCACAGAAAAATATTACTTTTAAATGCTATTTAGAGGTTATTTTCCACCACAAATCTAAAACTACCACAGAGATCAGATACCTTTTAAAAACAATTGGCACGGGGCCGGCCCGGTGGCGTAGTGGTTAAGTGCGCGTGCTCTGCTGCTGGCAGTCCGGGTTCGCGGATCCTGGGCGCGCACCAACACACCGCTTGTGAGGCCATGCTGTGGCGGCGTCCCATATAAAGTAGAGGAAGATGGGCATGGATGTTAGCCCAGAGCCCTCTGCCCCAGCAAAAAGACGAGGATTGGCAGATGTTAGCACAGGGCTGATCTTCCCCACAAAAAAAAATAATGATAACTGGCAAACTGAACTTGTTTTACAATCTGCCTTTAAACACGTTGGCTGGGCCACTTAGCAGCAGTGAACCTGAGGAAATCGTTTAATCTCTCAGAATCTCATCTTTCTCACTTACGAAATGGAGATAAGGCTTAACTTACTGCATTTTGAGGATAATTAAAACCTGTGAGAAACTGATAGGAGATGGTCTTAGGTGCCTACCAGCAGTTAACAATGCATGAATTTTACTACTATCTTGTAAGCATTTTCCTTTTGGAAATTCCTTTTGAAAGTTCCCTTTTTCTGCTGGCTGGATGCAGTTAATGAGGAGGCTTTAGGGGCTGGCAAAGCCACAGGTGGAAGAAGTCTATGTCCTTAATTCACCAAGTATAGAACAGCTGCCTGCCAACTAGGAAAACCCACTTTGGATTCTTATAAAAAATAAAATCTATAATGTCTGAGTCATAATACAGTTTTGGTGTCGATTTATAAGAGCAACTTAGCCTATGCTAATCAATATATTCTTGAAAGACACCACAAAATATTGAGATCTCTGGCCTCCTTGTCTCCCCAGCTGCAGGAAACTCGCAACAGGGATTATACCTCACAGATAGGACACCAGAAGTTTCCTCGCAGGGGAAATTGACTAGACAAGAGAAATAACTTACAGATAACAGTTGGGGTGGAAGAGGTCCACTCAAGAAATAGCCCAGTCAGGTCACCCTACAGTAAAGCCCATTCTTGACAAGACCCATCCATACTCATGGAGTTTTCAAATTCTTTTACTGTCTCACTTCAAAATATGAGCTGATAGACAAAGGTCACAAATACAAAAACACTTCGTGAAAAACTCTAATACCAACATAGAAAATAATCAAATTAATAGAAAACAAAATAAAATATGGATGAAGACCTGAAACAATTTTAAAAAAGAAAATACCTGTACTTAATGTCACCAGAGAGATAGAGATATTGAACAAAAAAAGGAAATATTTCAGAAGAGAGTGGAAAAAAAAAAACATTCTGGGAAAAGGGATAAAAAGGAGCTCTTGGAAATAATACTGTGAGACTAGAAGTTTAAAAATTTAATAGATGAGTTAGAAGATAAAATTGGGACATTTCCTATCCCTCCACCCCAAAAAAATTAACCAAAGAAAAAAAGGAGATAAAAAATAGAAGGAAAAAGAAAATTAGAGGATCAAGTGGAGGCATAATGTATGAATAACAGCTGTTCCAGACATAAAGAAGGGAAGAAAAAAATCCAAGAGACACAATAACTTTTTCATAATTTAAGAGTTTCCAGATTGAGGGAGTCTATTGAGACACAATGGATGAAAAAAGACTGGCTCTAAGGATTATCATTCTTAAATTTCAGAAAATCAGGGACACTGAGAAAAATATAAAAGCTTCCAGAGAGAGAAACAAATGACAATGAATCAGGATTCAGAAGGGCATGAATGTCTCACTAGAAGTTATAATGCAATGGAGCATTGCCTTTAAAAATACGAGGAAAAATTATTTCCAATGTAAAATTTTATACCCACTTAAACTATAAATTATGGGGGTTGATAAAATAAAGGCATTTTTAGGGGTGCACGTCTCAAAAGTTTAATTCCCATGTACCCTCTACTAATTAGGAGTAAAACAAAAAAAAAAAGATACAATATCCTGGAAACAGAAGGTCCGACACAAGGCAAATGAGATTCCCCAGGGTATCAGTGAAAGGAGATCCCAGAATTACTACCATACCATCTTAGAGAACAACTAGTCCACACTGGAGCAAGAAAACAAAGCACTCCCAAAAAAATAACTCTAGAAAATGAAACTGACTGATGCTGACTAATGGGTTTAATCATACTGAAAGGAAATTTATTCTTTTGGCAAAGAATTTGGTCATTAATAAGTGATAGTAAGGAAAACAATAGAAACAAAGCAAAGAGGGAGAAAAAAGAAATAGTCATCCTCCCTACTTATTAAGATCACAGGTTTAAGCCCTAAGTCAGTGGCTTAAACTAGAAGACAATTTCTCACGTCAAAGAAGTCCAGAGATGGGCAGTGCAGGGCTCCTGGTATGGTGTTCCATGGTGTCAGAGCCTAGGCTTCTTCTCTCTTGCTGTTCTACCAGCTTCAGCATGTGGCTTCTACCTCATAATCCAAGAACTCAAGCCATGACATCCACATTCCAGCAAGCAGAAATAAGAAAGGAACAAAGAGGGGAACAACCCCTCCTACACTGCTTTAAGATCCCTCACAGTAGGTCATGAACACACTAGCACATTCCACTGGCCAGGACTTGGTCACATGGCTGCACCAAGCTACATGTCTTCTATTACTAATTTAAAAAAGATGAGAAGGTTGAAGAATGGCTATTGGGAAATAGCTGGCAGTCTCTGCTGCCTCCCTCCAGCACATTCTATTCTCCATATCCTACTTTCTTTTTCACCATAGTATTTATTAATCCCGGATATATTTTCTCTTCATTTGTTTATGTTGCCCCCAACCTGTAAGTTCCAAGAGGACAAGGACTTTGTCTTTTGTTCACCTCCATACCCCAGTTTCTGGAAAAGTGCCTGAAGCATAGAAGGAATTATGGGTTGAATGAGTGAATGAATTGTTAATTACAGGGGAGAAAGATTAAGAAAATAAATTTAAATATAAAGATCCAGTCAGGGCACAGATGATACTTTGTTTTGTCTTGATTAGTTAGAAATGAATGCCCATTATCTGAAAAAACTGACTCTCCCTCTCTGGAATTATTAATTTTAAAAAGCTTCCCTTCCTCTGAAGAGCTGATTCAAAAGTCATTGCAGAAAGCACAACCAATACAACCACAGGTGATAGCCCTGTAATAATTCCCTAGACCTAATAATTAAGCAATATTACACTAATGTTTGCAATAATGTTATTAGCAATAATAATGTAAACATTAATATGTATCATGTAAAATAATAATGTAACCAACTAATTATTTTAATATAATCATTACTAGATGCAGGAAAAGAAATTATGTGGGGGGAACAGTATAAAAGAGACAAATTCTCTTCTTCCACAGAAGGAAGTCAATAGACACTACCTATAAATGAAAAAAAAAATAAGAAATAGCATTATATGCTTATTATTTTAAAACACCGAAGCAGGCATCAGAAGAAACAGCTTGAAATGCTGAAGGTGGTCATTCTGATGACCAATAATCAGGGACAGGAAAGACTAGCTCAGAGGTCAGCCGTTTCACGTTTAAGCCGTACAGAATTTTCTAGTTTTATCTACGTGTGTTTAACTATGACTTTCTCATACGTAGGTCGGTGCCCCCATTCCTCTGAGCTCCTGAGAAATACAATCTAAATTATTA